AATTAATTAAAATTGTTTCATCTTTATTACCTTCAATAACATATTAAGAGATGATGCAATATTTATCATTATCTCTACAAGTTCTCACAAATAAGTTTCGAAAGTTCTAATTTACATTTTACTAATCTTTACATTGTATCATTTCGTAACAGTACCACCTTCGTTGCAACATATCTTAACGTAAAGACTGTGAAAATAATGCAAATTATAAGTCATTGAACTACTTTAAATATAATGCTGTTTTTGAGGTTGTTCAAAATCATGTTCTAAGGCATTATTGTAGTTTAATTTTTTATTATACTCTCGCAACTTGTTGCTACACCTAACGGTTGTTTGTATCACTTAAAACTAATCGAATTAGATATAGGGTTATACAAGTACATATATAAATGATCAGGATGAAGAGACGAGTTGAAATCCGGGTGACCCCACAACAAGATAGAAATCTCTTATTTGGTATACAGGATCACATTAGGGAGGGGCATCTGCAGTTTAGAGTTTTTTTTTAAAGTGGGTGTGGTCCCGCCCCCTAATAAGTTTAATATGCATATCTCCTATACCACTGAAGCTATAATTACAAAATTCATTGGGAACAAATGTTTTTAGCATCTCTATCGACGGTGTGGGTGAAATCGGGTGACAACCCCGCTTACTCCTCATATAACGGTACTGTTCAAAACTACTAAAAGCGCGATAAATCAAGCACTAAACAAGCCAGAGACATTAAATTTTATCTCTGGGATGGTATAAGATGATTTTATAGGAACCATGTTCAAAATTAGATAGTGGGCGTGGCACCGCCCACTTTTATAATATAATATATAATATCCCTCTCATATTTCTATGTTATAATACGAAAATGGGCGAAATCGGATTACCACCACGCCTATTTCCCATATAACATCATTTTAAATTCCATCTGATTTTTCCAATTTCCAGTATGCAAACTAAGCAACAATGATTATATCGGCGTAAAACTTTGCGTGAATAGTACGTTTAAAGTACGCCACCTTGTGACCAAAAATTATCTAATACTATGTTCGCACCGAATTGAAATCCTCTTGAAAACACAATTTGTGGATTGTGGAACCAAAGTTTTTCTGACCGACATTGTGTGTTTGCGATGAGTTTTCATTGACAGTTCACACATCTATTTGTTTACATTTGTTATGTACCCTACAAGAACAGTGACGGTCATCTGATGGGTAATATGACAGTCATAGCTGAAAAACTATTTTCAGCGCCTTGTTTTCTTTTTGTTTGTTTGTTTTGTTTTTTCTGAGTCATTGCTGACCATAAATCCGTCATAGCTGAAAATTGTCAGTTATGACTGAAACGCTATAATTTTTATTTCTTTAATAAATTTCAAACTTTTAATGAAAATTAGTTATAATAATATACTTAAATATAAAAAGGAATGCAACAAAAAATATAATAAATAATGAAAATATAAAATTAAATCTTCACTTGATGCCATCTCCTCCTCTCAATAGCTTTGCGTACGTCTTTCTCCAATCAAACCAGTGGATAGTTCTGAATTTAAAAATGCAAATGTAAATTAACAGTACTGACATATCAAATGTGAGTGTATTGGTGAACCCATCAGCAGTTTCTTGTAGGGTACGTTTAGGCCAATTATGGAATGTAAATTGTCAACTGACATTTAGGGCTGGCAAAATATGTCTTCTAATAATATCGATTAAAATAGAGCAGGCACCGATTATAATGAGTGGAATGTAAGTTTTAAAGGGGTTTTCAGCGAAAACTGTGTTTTCGTTTGACAGATTTTGTATGGATGAAAACACAAGTTTTCGCATGAAAACTCTTTTGTCTATGAAAACACAAATTTTGTGTTGGTGCGAACATAGTATAAATTGAACCAAAACTGTTCAAGCCCCTAAAACGAGTATACCATTTGACTTTGCGAGAGTATAAAATGTTCGGTTACATCCGAACTTAGCCCTTCTTTACTTCTTAAAATTTATTTTTAAAAGAAAATCCTTTTATTTTAATAAATAATTTTAATTTTTCACTGTCATTTATACTAATAAGTAATATGACCTAAATTCGCGAGACATTTACGAATGAATCTCATATTTTTCTTGCATCTAACAAAATATAAGATACAGTGCTTAAATTAAATAAACTGTAGACACCACAGAGAAAAATTAAACATATACAAGGGTATAGTAAGTGTGAATACAACCAACGCTTATAGAAATGATCATAAAAGTAAACATAAAATTCACTGTTCGACCTTGGAAAGCAGTAAAAAATTCTTAATGGCTCTCACTTTTTATAGACAGAAAAGTCTGCAACGTTAAAGATATGTGACACGCTTTAACACTAACCATATAACTGTTGAAATGCCAACAACAATAATGTCAAACCCAACAACAATGTTTCAATGCCAAATGGATTACAACAAACAGTAAACATCTTAGTACAACGGAGCCTGGCCGTTGTAGTTAAGTAAATTGTGGTTTGAAAAAATGCTAAACAGTGATGAAAGTGATCAGCTGTTACTGCCGGTGAGCGCAGCCTATGTTGGCCTCTTCCATTAACATGCACTTATGACTTTTTAATATACCCTCACTGCTCGCCGGTTTGAAATAGCTGAAATAAAATGTACTTTGTATTTGTATGGGTCTCGCAATATGTTTCATAGAATATAATAGTATTGTGTTTACATAACGGTAGTTTATAACACCAAAAACTAATTGAGACAGATATAAAGTTCTTTATATCTAACTGATCAGTATGACTAGATGAGTTCAACCTGTTTTTTCATCGATCCATGCAAGCGATAACTTGAACAACATTTAAATATATGTATTTGGATAACTTGGTACACATATTTTTTGGGCAAATTTAACTACTGCGACGCTTTAATGCCTTCGTTAAAATTGGACAATAGGGGTCACATCGCCCGCTTTTAGTCGAATGTTCATATTGTATATCAGCAACGATTTGACCAATGTCAGCGAAAGTAAAATTAAGCATATAATATAATTTTTTTTTTAAGATATCGGACTAAAACTTTGAACATATGTATTATATTGACTTTTGATGGAAAAATCGGCCAAGCTGTGATATATAGTAATGAAATTCGAGGAGCACGTTTTTCTGTTAGTAATTTTAGCTGTTATTGCATAGATACAGTTTATTGTAGAGTACTTCCCTAAACCCTAAACATAGCTATTACGACAATTTTTAAAATTCCGGTTGACTTTATACAGTTTATAATAGTCAATATGCTCGATATTTTAATGAAATTTAATGGATATGTTTTCATAACTATTAAGAGGTTTAGTACTAAATATGAATGACTTTTGTTGTCTCAAAAAAATTAAATTAACTTCCGATTCCAACATGACGCAAAAATTATTAATATAACTATGTGAGTATATGGTCTATAGCTTAAATTAATAATGTGACTAAAAGTATTGCCAACACATAAAAATAAATAGTATACACCTTTCAACTGCAAAAATTGCAAGAGTACAAAAAATTCGGTTGCAGCCCTTAGCTCTTAGCACTTATTTCTTGTTGTATTTGCATTCAATAAAATGAATTGGCTTACTCGAATATGGAAACAAATTATGTATTTTTAAAACAAATTAAGCCTTTATAAATAATATATGTTTATAAAATTATTCATAGTTATACATTTTCTTTTATCTATATGGTTTATTGTAAATTTACGCAGGTATGAATGTAAGCTCTAAAGTTGTAATTCTAAGCAATCAAATGAGCAATCCATAAACTTCGAAATTTAATTTTTTAAGGTAGTTTGGATTTATTATGCTATACCTTTAATATATATTTGGAAATATTTTATTTTTCTTAGTGTAAGACTATTACTTTATGAATTATTTATCCGATATCGGTTTACTAGCGAGTATGAACTAAATTGCTCCTTGAGAATATGCGTGATTGTCTGTTAAATTCCATAACAATTGACAGGCCTACCCATAACCTTCAAAACGCTATATGGACTAGGTATCTTTTGGTTTTTTTAATACTCTCCTTCTTGTCCTTGGACAACCCTTTCAATAGCAAAAGTGTATACTCAAGGCCAAAATGTTATTTATTTTGAGCTCATTTTCGCTTATTGTATTTTTGTTGTTCTTGTAGGATACTTACTTGAAAAACTGAACAATAACTTAGCCTTTAATATGAAAGGATGGACTCTTGCTGTAAATATATGAAGGGAAAACTCGGTTATTATGAATGATGAAAAAAGTATTTAGTCACATTCGTCAGAAGAGCAATTACGAAAACAAAGGGATAGAAATAAAAAGTTTGAGTTTAATAATGTTCGAAACATAATTATATACCATACATACGAATATGCAAATAAAATAAATATTATGAGCATAATCAATCCAAAGTCCACACATACCTATGTAATACTCGATTATGTGCTTACTGCATTGACTTGTTTCAATTATGACTCGCACGGTAAGCATTAATTTTAATTGTATCCCATAGCAAGAAAGCCATAAATGTATTCTTTACATCTACAACATATCTATGTACCCACATTATTTTTTGCTTTTTTCGTTTTAGAAAAGAATTTAAATACATGACAAATAATACGTGATCGCCTTGTACAAAGTGTATCCGCCACAACCGGTCGATGTAAATTTATATTTTAATGTTATTCATTGAACCGGTATCTACAAGCAAGTAAGTTATAGATGTCACGACTACTCTGAAATGTATAGCAATAGTGTGTGTTGTAGCGAACAGTATCTGCGAGATAGGAGCCGTTTATAAATCAATTGATTGTCGCCATCTCATATATGCATTAGGTACCTGGTATGATAGCTCGTATGTCGGTACCCAAAAAAAGGCATATTCATATGGAGCCCTTTGGATGGAGTGGAAACAAAAGAGAGCATAATTGTATAATTTTTTAGTGACTACAGTGTTCATATTTCATTCTTTTTTTTTGTAACTTTGAGAAAGGAATGCAAATGAAATACGCAGCTTATTAGTATGTAAGTCGCATAAATAAATTTATTAAAATATAGTCGCTATAGTTGACTCCGCAAAGAGTTCATTGTCAATCCAGACGATACTGATCAGCCTAGTTCTAGTGGAGTCACCACTTAACGGTAATGCTGTATACTTGTATGCGACTGAAAAGCAACAGCGGCATTGCCTATCTGAAATGGGGAAGCTGCTTTTTACTAAGTATTTTTGTTTATCATAATTACATTTGTTCATGAATTAATGTTTGTCAAGCTGACTTTTATGTAAATCTTCTCTCGCAGTAGTTGCTGTTACCAGAAATACGTAGGTTAATACTGATGAGGGTAGGTTGCACAAAGGCCATAAAGCTGGCGTTCGCCAATCCATTTCATAATTAACATTCAAAAATAAATTGTTTAATTTATTTAATAAACAGAATGAAGACACATACTCTTCGCAAAGTATCATATTTAAACAGTGGGGCGGAGATGGCAAATTAAGGTAAATATTTTTCGGATATTCTTAGAAAAATAGTGGAAAGAAGCAAAAATATTTAATTAATTTTAATACTATTTAATATTCTATATGAAAGTTATAGCATTTTACCTATAATCAAAACATACAACGTTTCATTTATTTCCCAAACGATCATTAGTTTTAAATCTACGCATACTTAAGGTAAAATTTAGATATGGGCGTACTTTCTGTTATTAAGCTGTAGAGGCTATGGAAATGTATACGTTTAAGTAATTTGTGATAGTGACATATTCGACAGAGACTAACCTTAGACGGTTTAGTTAAAAGCAAAAAACTTCAGTTTATTCAATAATGCACCATTCAGTTTTATAAATATATATAAATGCTCAGGGAATACATTTTTCCGTAGAAACATATTTTAAACATGTTTAGAATTTTAAACTGTACGAATTTTACTCCAAATTTTCATGGCTTTCACACGTGTTTTAAACGAGTGAAGTAAACCTTATTCTTCATTCCAAAACTACAACTGTCTGTCATTAGTATCACAACGCAAAAACTTGTTTGATTCTGTTTTAATCGTTTGTGTACCGCTCGCCGTTCGTTTTCTTTCAAGCAAAAAAAAGCATTTCATTTAAACATATGCAAGAAACTAGGGGACTTTCAAGGATGATTAAACAGAACAATAGTGATAACTTGTGTAAATACATTATTATATACTTATAAATGTTTGTTATATAATCGTGAGAAATTAATTCTGAAACTATAGAAATATAAAAACTCTAAATTATTGCAGATTAATTCTAGGGTTAGGTTTTCAACATAAAATTAACGCTCTTAAAACATGGATGATGAGTATGTAAATGAACGAGCTATCTAAAAATATATGTATGTACATATTCTGTATGAAATGTAAGGAAGTAGCAAATTATTATTTTTATGAAAGTAGTTTTTTTAAATTGATATTGAATCGTACATATTAAATTTACTTATAAGCAGCAAACTAAGATATCAAAGCATTGACTGTCAAGCAGACGAAAAAAAAATTGTATCTAACAAATAAACCTAAAAAAACTGAAAATCACTCAGTTTGTCATTACCTCCTTTTTCTATAATGTTATATTTCAAATAACTTGTATATAAAATTTTAACATTTTGAGAAAATGTAAAGGTTATATAGTTCCAATTTAAAGGGAAACTTTAACATGTTATAGGATGTTATTTTAATTCCACATATTTATTTGATATCTTCATATGTATATGGCTTTGTCAATCCAATTGATTGAGCAAAAATTTAGTAAGTTATGAAGTATGTGATATAAACGCAATTTGGCAACTTCTTAATCCCAGTACCCTCACGGAATTTAACATCAGTTCATCGGTTCAGACGTGGACTCTTTTGTCACTTATTTTTAATTTTTTTGGGTCAAGGGGACTACGAGAAAAGATGAAGGGACCGTGTCGCTCGTGCACGGGTGAGCACCCTTTTCTGTTTGAAACATTTTCCATGGTTGCAATTGCGCTCAGTTTCCAAAGAATATTTACAATATGTTCGGGAACATGATTCTTTTTGTACTCCCGCAACATGTTGCTACAGAGTATAATAGTGTTGTTCACCTATCGGTTGTTTGTATTAATTAAAACTAATACAGTTAGATATAGGGTTAAATATATATAAATGATCAGCAAGAAGAGAAGAGTTGAAATCCGGACGACTGTCTATCTGTCCGTCCGTCCGTGCAAGCTGTAACTTGAATAAAAATTATGATATCTTTATGAACCTTGGTACACATGTTTCTTGTTACGGTAAGATCGGACGACTGCCACGCTCACAAAACGCCTTTAATCAATAAGGAGTAAATTGCCATAACTAAGCTTCGCAATAAGATATAAGGCTGTTATTTGGTATACAGGATTACATAAGGGAGAGGCATTTGCGGTCAAATATTTTTTAAAAAGTGGGCGTGGTCCCGCCCCTAATAGGTTTAATGTGCATGTCTCCTAAACCGCCAAAGCTATAATAACAAAATTCACTGTGTACAAATATATTTAGCACCTCTACCCACAGTGGTGAAATCGGGTGACAACCACGCCGACTCCCTATATAACGGTACTGTTAAAAACTACTAAACGCACGATAAATCAAGCACTTAACACGCCAGAGACATTAAGTTTTACCTCTGGGATGGTATGAGATGACTTCATAGGAACCGCGTTCAAAATTAAACAGTGGGCGTGGCACCGGCCAATTTTAGTTGAAAGCCTCTACCTTGGGATCTGGTAAACCAATTTCAACCAAATTTAGTACATAAGATTCTATGTTATAGTGCGAAAATGGGCGAGATGGGATTACAACCACGCCTATTTCCCATACAACACCTCAAACCTTAAATTCCATCTGATTCTTTCACTTTCCACTATGCAAACCAAGCAACAATGATTATATCGGGATACAACTTTGCGTGAATAATGCGTTTAATGCCACCTTGGGACCAAAAATGATCTAAATCGAACCAAAACTGTTCAAGTCCCTAGGTACTGATTATGTGAACCCCAGTGCCTATAGTTGACTTTTATCGAAAATATCGGTCAATGTGTAAAATATATAATTGAAATTCATATAATAAAATTAATGAATGAAAATCTTTGGTAATAATATGTTTTTGTGTCAAACAAGGGTTGAATCGGATCAATAATTCCTTTAACATAAAATTTTGCCAACACCTGAAGTAATTTCCCGGTGATGAGCTACAATAATGTACGTGTGTGAATGCACCCTAATACAGCAAATAAAATTAAGCCGCAGTAAAATTCCTAAAAGGCAAAGTAAGCAAATGTGAAAACTGCAGCAAATGCAACGACGGTACGAGTGGGCGCTTAGTGAATGAAATAAAAGACCCACACCTACATTTATCAGCATCCTCTAATGGAAAGTTTTCGTATATTGTAGCATAGGTATATCATATGTATGAAAATTAAAAACATTCACGTCTACTTGCATACGAGTACATGTTACTATTTAATGAATATCGGAGTTTTTGGTAATTCAAGGAGACATCCGAAATAAATTTTAGCATAGCTCAGTTCAATTGCCACTTTGATAAGTTTGGTGTGATAGAATAAAACCACTGAGGTAGAAAATTATTGAAATTTGTTGTTACATTTTTTGAGTATTGGAATTTTGTGCACCTAATGGTTGGGTGGAACACACTAATCGACATAGATATAGAGTTATTTAAAAATTGTACATATATGTACCATATACAGGGTTTTCCAATAAGAGTGATATAATAAAACAAAAACACCGGGCAAGCCAAACCTTGAGTTAAAATGAAGATATATTGATGAAAGGTGTTTCTTGGCACCAGAAAAAGGTTGGTAATGCAGGGCAGCGTCGGAACACTGCCACTGCCCCCAGAAAATCCCATTATTGGAAAGTTTATAAAGAAATATATCTCAAAAACATGCCTCAAGAACAACTCGATAAATTTTAACCAAATTAAATTACATTACAACCCCGATATACTTATCACAATTTTTATTAATATTTTACTTTACAGTATCAAATCAAACAGCAATGAAGTTATTGAAATAAGTTTTGAGCCCTGTAAATTAAGAGAGTATAAAATGTTCTTTATTTGTTTAATATAAAGTTTGGCAAACATCTTATAATATTTATCGCCTATTAAACGCGCATGCGCGAATATTATGAGAGTATAAAATATTCTATTGAAACCCAAACTTACGTCCTTACTTGTTTTATGTTGCTGCTTGTCTATCAAAATACAAATTTTTATATCTTGCAACTAGGTATCCGATTACAAAACTACCAAACCTTTGACTCGCAGCGTTTTTTTTTAAGTGGGAGTAACCCCTTTTCTAAAAAGTTTAATTATCGTGCTTCATAACTAATAAAGCAAACCGATTTTATTGGAATCTTTTAATTTTTTTTTATGCTATAGATCGATATAGATGTATATAGCGACACTGTTCTAAGCTACTTAAAGTGCGGTTACTGCATAAGCATTAAAGATAACGGTGAGGATAATACTGCAGATTTGAAAGAAAATAAGTACAGAATTTTTACAAAGACGGAACCTCCAGTGAGATTTAGAATTTTTTGTTACTGTTTGTGAATGATCTTAATCGAGGGGCATATTTTCCTGAAAATTATATGACATAGTATTTTAAATCTATGTGTAGAACACATCATTGTAAATCATTGTGAATGCAAGATTTGTCAAATCTTATTTCTTTTCATAATTTTTCAATATAAATATTTCTGTTATAAAATACTAAATTGTAGTTTAGTATAATTTATTAAGGCACCAAATATCCGCCGAGAGTAACAAAAGGGCCCGGTAGAAGAGTGAAAAAATGTCTCTGGCTCTTCATAGCTAATGCAAGAGTAAACGGAAACCAGAAATAATGGTGACGTCAAAAAGCAAAAAAGGAAGAAAATATAAACATGTTGCTTGAGAATATAAAATATGTTTATTAAATGTATTGAGTTTAATAGTATATTTGAAAGAACTTGACTTAAATACTCAATATATCGAATTTATGTTAACGTTTAATTGAAAAATGATTTATTGATATCTGTACCTCTGTCGATTTCAGAACTGCAGCCTCAATGAAACCGGTTTCAAATTTCGACTTGCTCTTTTCTGGTCAACATTTTAGGTATACTTACTTAGTGTAATTTAACACTGGAATAACAAAAATTATTATAATGGGTAATCCCATTCGCGCCAAATTTTGTTCAGCGATTAGGCCCAGTTTTGACTCAATGGGTATGTAAACAAGCAAAATTGCCGCATTTGGGACGAAGAGCAACCTGAAGAGATTCAAAATCTGTCATTTCATCCAGAAAAAACATCGGTTCGGTGTGGTTTTTGGGCCAGTGGAATCATCGGTCCATATATCTTCAAAAATAATGCCGGTGAGAACGTAACTGTCAATGGCCACCGTTAGAGAGTTTATTGAGGGAACACTTCGGTGAGCAGATAATTTCACGTTTTAGCCGGTCGATTGGCAACTAAGATCGTGTAATATCACACCGTTAGACCTGTGAGGATATGTAAAGTCTAAAGGCATTGGATCAAAATATCACGCGTATCATTCGCCAGTTACCAGTCAAAATGTTTGAACGCATCATCGAAACTTGGACTAAACGGTTGGACCATCTGAGACATAGCCGCGGCCAACATTTGAAAGAGATAATCTTAAAAAACTAAATGCCAAAGAATGTTCCTTCGAATGATAATAAACATTCTCAATTAACCTTGAATTTTTTGTATTTTTTTTTTAAAAAGAAAGGAACTTCGAAATGGATCACTCTTTATATTATATATAATATAATGACAAGTCGGTGTGATTCGTGAACCAATTTTACAAATTTCCGGAAATTATAAATACATATATATGCTAAAAATTCAACCGGAAGTTTGCTATTCGTATATTTGGTGTGTATATATATGGTGACTAGCGGCCACGTCTCATTAGAAAAAGATGCTTTTTGTCTCTCATTAAGATATCTTACATACGGAGGCCAGGAGTAGTATTGATCTGATTTTATTCCTTTTGGGTATCACGACATATTATTACCAGAAAATAAATTCTCTGAATTTCAATAATATATGTCAGAGGCTTACAGCTTTAGGCATCGAGGTCTAATTCTTCGGCATCTGGGGACTTGAAAAGTTGTGGTCCGATTTCGACTATTTTTTAACATGAATTTGATTTATATTAAAAAGCGGCATAATCATATGGAATATAAGAAAGATGAAATAGTGAAATTCACTATTTATTGGAAATAGTTTAGTCGTTCTTGAGACCGTTGACCAAATTTTACAGCGATTCCTTGGAAGGCCTTAACCAACATTTTGATTGCGAATTTCAATGCTTCTAATATGCATTACATATTAACTTACTGAGTTATGGCGTATTTAGTAGTTTTCTACATAACCCTTTATGGGAACGGGGCGTGGTTATTATCCGGTTTTGACAATGTTTGATAAAGTATCGAAAGGATTTGTTCTCAACAAATTTGGTTGATAGAGAAGTTTCTGACATCTAACAAAGGAAATGTGTCATTATTTAGTTATTTATATATAGTACTGGCTCCTGCCTTTCCACTTTCAGTAAGACAATTGTCTCAGTTATTTCTAGCTTGTTGGGCGGTCATGATTCAAAATCATGAGCAAAAGTATTACATACTATGAGTAAATAAAATGATCCAAGAATAGATTCTTAGACCTGTGTCCCACCGATTTCGGTAATATCTTCAAATATAATATATAATACAATTTTAGTAAATGGCTGCATTAAACAATTTTTTTCTTTTTTTTAAAAATATGTATGTAATTTCCTTATTCCCAGATTTTCGCGAAATTTATTCTAATATAATTAATGTATTCATCTAAATTTTTGTTTACTCCCCCTTTTCTAGTTATTACGGAGATTGAAATTTCAATAGGGATGTTTTCATATGGATTTAGTTTAGTGTTTTCTATATTATTTGATTTGTTTATTATTTAACTTTTTCTAATTTTTGGTTCCTTTCATGATTGTAGCAGGAAAGTTTTGTGATTATTCCAATTCGTCAGAGCGTTCCGCTAGGATGTAATCAAATAACTTAAATATATTTTCCAAGGATTGAGAAAGTTGACAAAACTATGCTTTGATTTGATGGTTAAAGATAGAGCAAGAGAGAGGATAGAGCGGAGATGATAAGTGGGAAAAATGTGCGTTCTCTTGTTAAAATGCAAATACATACTTGTAGTACAAAATATTTGCTTAGAGACATAACATATGTTACAATATGTTGCATATTTACTTATATATGTATGTATATGCAAATATTTTCACTCGTTTCGATGACGCAAGCCGCAGGAGAATTGGCTTTGTCAAAAATTTCACAGCTTGATATTAAATAGTTCCTTTTACGTGCATTATACGTTTCTAAGCGATTCAATCTACAATATCTCTATTATCTCTTTGCTTATCTTAAAACAAGGTCAAAAACACATTCGAGTAATTTTTTTCTACATTTGTTTAAGAAATATATTGTCTTCTTTAGAAGCTTGATGATTACACTGTCAAACTTCACTAAACTGAAATAGTGCGATACTCCAACTTTGAAAGTATACTTTGCCTTGTAGTGTCAATAGAGGAGGATAAACTTTCCAACTCCTTGAAGAGGAAATCATAAACTGAAGTTGCGAAATGAGAATAGAATAAAGTTTGGCAAATAAATTTGTAAGATATTAAATTATTAAGAAAAAATTAGTACCAATTATTACTACTAAACCATAACATAAATAAAATCATGAAGGTGAAAAAAGAAGTTTACCACTATAACTTTTAGAAAAAGACGTAGGCGGTACTTCAATTGATGATTTCTTTGACTTTATCTAAAATATAATGAAATTAAAACAATGTACCTATTCTGTGGCCAATATACATACATACGCCTTAAGGAGTCCCAGCCCAGATCATGTTGCCTACCTCTACCATTCTCCTCGTTCTAGTTCCAACTTCGGTACGAAACACAGTCTTTCAACTTGGGTTTTTAATACGGAATACAATGGAATATAACATCAGTTATTTACAAATGTGTTCCAGCTAGTGTTATTATTTGCGCTCTATTCATGGAGTCCTTTATATGTCGCCATATGTTTTACTAGTCTGCCCCACAACAATTACAATTGAATCCGTTAAACAACATCAAAGTGGCACAGCCAGCATTTGTCATTCCTTAAGCCCTAGATCTTAAGGTCCCTCATATAGAGTTCACATACGAAGACTTTTGCTGTTTGTTTCGAAAAATTATATTCCGAAGCACAAAGCGTGTTGCCTGAGCATTATCAACCAACTCGGCGCCCTGATAGGCTATGTATGTATATATATATATGAAACTTAGGTACATACGAGTACAAGCAACTTCTTCAGACAATTGGTGATTGCTACCATTAAATTGTCTTAACCTTCACCTGTTTTCTTTGATAATATTTACAATCAAGTATATCTTGCAGATGAGACCACTATATAAAAGAGTCTCATCTAACTAAATAAAAGACAAAATGAAGAACCAAGTTATATAAAATAAATTAATTTAAAAGATATATAAAAGTTCTTTACACTTGTATTTGCAAACTATAACATTATAACTACATACTTTACCATATTTTTGTATTGTCATAGCAGCGAATTTATACAAAAACAGGTACATACATATATATATATATATATTGCAGCTCTTAGAAACTCTTAAATAATGCGTTAAAAGTGAAAATTTGTTATAAAATATTCTTGAATAAAATATTTTTTTTCCCGTTTTTAAGCGACGAATTTCAACGTCAGACACGGAGTAGTTTAGTTAAAAGCCAGCAACGCTGACGATATACAGCACAAAATTTGGTGGGCATGCTGGAGCACAGTACACTACAGAGTATTAGTATGGTTAACTTCACCAACCGTATTATATGATTCAGCCATATAAACATAAATGCCATTCCTTGTTATAAAAGATTTCCTGGCGAAAGCAGGATAGCGGTAAACATCGGCATACGGCTAAAATGTTGGATAAGCAAAGAAGCAGTATAACTATCTCTTTCTTCATGCCCTGATTCTCTTTTCAACTATTGGGCGATGCTTTTTTTCATTTTTGTGTATATAAGAGAAGTTGTTATGGAGAATATAATCAAGCTACGTCACCCAAGATAAAGCTGCTGCGGAATGCTGTTCAAAATGTAGCTAATTTGACGTACTGCAAGGTGGGCCATCTGACGGAAAACTGCACTGTAATTTATCTCAGATGGTATTTCAATGAATATTCTTTAACATTCTCTGATTCAGAGAAGTATTCTTTAACCAGAGAATGTTTTCATTTTATTCATTAACATTCTCTGTTCTCTGCTTTAACATTCTCTGGTACAACCAGAGAACGTCAAATTCATTGAAAGAAGCATGAAACTCAAATATGATGGAATGAAAATATAGAAGAATAAGCCGTCAACAAATATCTAATTCACATTTTTGCCGCTAGGCTTCAACCCCATTAATCATATTTCATTTATTATACTCTCGCAACCTGTTGCTACAGAGTATAACAGTTTTGTTCACCTAACGGTTGTTTGTATTACCTAAAACTAATCTAGTTAGATATAGGGTTATGTATATATAAATGATCAGGATGAAGAGACGAGTTGAAATCCGGGTGACTGTCTGTCCGTCCGGCCGTCTGTCCCTCCGTGCAAGCTCTAACTTGAGTAAAATTTGAGATATCTTTATGAAACTTGGTAGACATGTTTCTTGGTATCGTGAGACGGTTGGTATTGTAGATGGGCGTAATCGGACCACTGCCACGCCCACAAAACGCCATTAATCAAAAACAAATAAATTGCCATAACTAAGCTCCGCAATAAGATACAAGACTGTTATTTGGTACACAGAATCACATTAGGGAGGGGCATCTGCAGTTAAATTTTTTTTTTAAAACTGGGCGTTGTCCCGCCTCTAATAGGTTTAATGTGCATATCTCCTAAGCCGCTAATGCTATAATAACAAAATTCACTGGAAGCAAATGTTTTTAGCACTTCTATTGACGTTATGAAAACAGTTGAAATCGGGTGGCAACTCCGCCCACTCCCCATATAACGGTACTGTTAAAAACTACTAAAAGCGCGATAAATCAAGCACTAAACACGCCAGAGACATTAAATTT